CGTCTTATATGCCGGAGCGTCTTATATGCCGAAAAATACGGTAATGTTGTTTTTATTGTGATAGAGTGTCCCAGTGTTGGTTTAAATTTTCCTTTGAATTCCTGGATCTTGTGAAATAGATCTCTTGATCTTCCCTTTTTATTGTTGTCTTCCATTTCTCTGCATTGGCCGTTGTAGTAATTTTCTTTATCTTTCCACACAAGACATTTTACTGTTTTATTCATAATTCTTATTTCCTTTTTGTTTTTCTTCTCTTCTTTTCTTCATTGCTTGTAGTATTTTTTCTGTGATCCATGGTTTTCTCTCTTTCTTTTTGTTTACTGAAAGTGTCTGTCTGCATTCTTCTATTATGTCCCTGGTTTCAGACCATAGTTCCTCTGGTTCTCAGTCTATTATGCTTACTAGTGCGAATCTGTTTCTTATGTTGTCAGTAAATTCTCATGAAATATTATTTAGATCATATTTTGGTATAATCACTGGTTTTGTGCTTTTTCCTTTAGTCTTACTCTTGTTGTTGATATGAGTAATTCATGATTTGTGCCACAATCAGCACCTGGTCTAGTCTTGGCCACCAGTATAGAGTTCTGCCATCTTTTGTTTCCAATTATATAATATATTTTTGTGTTGACCATCTGGTGATGTCCATGTGTATTTCTTTCTGGTTGTATGAAAAATGTGTTTGCAATGAATAGGTTGTCTTTGTACAGAAGGAAAATATTACAAAATGCCAATGAGCCTCCAGCAACCTCCTTCCAATGCAAATCAAACTTCACTAAGCACTACAGCCCTGAAAATGCACATAATTGGCAGAAGAGAGGCAGATGAAACTTTGCTATCTTGCTCCTCTTCCAAAGGGTTCAGGGTACTGTACACTGTTCTCCCTTCTCAGCCTATTTTCTGCACATAACAAAATATGGAGGTAGGCTGGGCTTGGCCATGGAAACCCACTGGGTAACTTTGGGGAAGTCACACTCTCTCAGCCTCAGAGAATGACAATGGCAAACCCTCTCTGAAGAAATCTTGCCAAGCAAACCCCATGATTGCTTCGCTTTAGGGTCACCATAAGTCAGAAACAACCTGAAGGCACACAACAACAAATGGGTTAAGAGAAAAAAGAGATTGGCATAGTGAGCTTCAAGGTTATGTGGAGGATTTGAATTTGGCTCTCTAGACCTCTTAACCACTCTATACCACAATGATTCTGGGGAAAAGATGTTATGTTTTAAACACGGCCACAGTTGGGAAGAGCAAAATGCCACAAGAGTCTGTGGCAGCAGGGTTGAAGCTGAAGCATTACACCTTCCACACTACACAGTCATGGTGCCACGGTTTTGGGAGCGGGAGTGTGGTGAGGAACTAGAGCAATCTAGTTGTGAAAGTTGTTGTTGTGTGCCTTCAAGTCATTTCCAAGTTATGACAACCCCAAGGCAAACCTATAATGGGGTTTTCTTAGCAAGATTTGTCCAGGGAAGCCTTCCCTGAGGCTGAGAGTGTGACTTGCCCAAGGACACCCAATGGGTTTCATGGCTGAGCCAGGAATCAAATCCTGATCTCCGCTGTCGTAGTCCAACACTCAGATCATTACACCATACTAGCTCTCCTACTTGCATCACTTCAAGCCTGCTATCCCATTATACCTAATAGTAGGGTTGGCCATGCCCCAAGATTTGGATAAAATGAAGCAGCATTTAGCATTTTAGTCAGGTTCATTCATTTTTTTAAAAAAATTGCCACCTGCATCTTGGAATTGGTGTAGTTCAGCTACTTGCAAATTACATAGCACAGACGGAGACACAACGGGAGAGAATCTGTGTTTATGTCTAATTTGGCTCTTTGTATACTGGAAGTGATTCAAAGGAGACCAACACAGATGATTACTAGTGAGAAATGCATGATTAACAGAAGGAAGTGCTAAGGGATTGGACAGGTGTAAAGAAGATTAAGGGGAACATGGGCAGTTGTTTTCCAAGAATCAGAAAAACTACTGTAAACAAGATGATGTCAGAGACACCAAGGGAAGGAAAACCACTGGTTATGCTGGCTGGGGATTCTGAGAACTGCAGTCTAAAAAAGTAACATTTCCAAATTCCACAGGGGTGTGAAAGCTCTTTGGCTTGTTCTGATTCCCTGTCTGATGACTTGCCTCTTCTGAAAGCCACCAGGAGCAAAAATTCGCCTTTTAAATAATATGTAACCCCAGCGGGCAAATCACACTCTTTCAGCCTCAGGAGGAGACAATGGCAAACCTCTGGAGAAATCTTGCCAAGAAAAACCCATGATAGGCTTATGGCTGCCATAAATTAGAAACAATGTGAAGTCACACACAACAACATACCCCAGCGAGTGTCAACTACTACCTCTCTCCTCTGGTACCCCATCCTGATATGCTGGATAACATTTCCCACCATCCACACCCAACATCAACCTGTTGACTCCCGTCAATTATGAGTTTTGTAGTAATCCAACACATCTGCCCCACAGCTGAGCAAGGCTGGTCCAGTGGTGTTCACACATCTGGAATAATGTGTACAGTTCTGGTTGCCCATTGCAAAGAGGATGTTGGAGAAGATACAGTACAGCAGCTACTAAAACAAGCATCTCTTTGAGCAGAAACCCTAAAGCACTAGGGCTTTAAAATAATAATTTTAATTGAACAATGAGGGAGATGCTTAAGAATGATATATTTCATAATACTATAAAAAATATGATGGTGAGAGTGAAGAGGACAGTATTCTCTGTCTTGAATACTAACACCACAGATTCAGGACAGACAGAAGGATTTTTTTTCATACAAATTATAATTAACTTACAGAATTTATAATCACCAGATGCAGCAATGGAGCCAGCTTATCAATGGCTTTAAGAAAGGATTAGGGCAAATAAATAGGTCTATCAGCAGCTTTTTAACTTGACAGCTAAAACTGGAACATATATATATTCAGAGGCAATTCATGTCTTTAGGTGACAGATACTGGCGACAACCAAAAGGAGATAGACATCTGCCTTCACCTCCCCTTGCAAGCTTTCCAATAATATCTGACTGGTCCCCACTGGAGAAAGAAAACTGGTCTGATTCTACAAAGCCATTCTTCTGTTTCTATCCCAGGAACCATTTTCTTATTTTTAGTAGGCTTGGCATTAGGGCAAGCTGGAGTTGTGGAATTTTCTTCCCATGCATTTTTAATGGAGACATTAAATACTGTAAAGGCACCAGATCTCATCTGATCTTGGAAGGTAAGCAGGATCAGCTCTGGTTATTACTTGGATGGGAGACCACCAATGAATACCCAGGTACTGTAGGCTACATTTCAGAGGAAGGAAGTGGCAAAACTATTCCTTGCCTTTAAAACCCTATGAAATTCATGGGATCGCCATGAGTTGATAGTTGAAGGCACACACACACACACAAACTGATTGATATGTAGTTTTATCTATAACACATTGAATTGAATGGGTCTACACTAGCAGTGGTGTGAGAGCCAATGTGATTTAGTGGTTGAGCATTGGTCTAGGACTTCAGAGAGCCAATGTGGCATAGTGGTTTGAGCGCTGGACCAAGGGACTCCGAGGACCAGGGTTTGAATCCCAGCTTGGCCATGGAAACCCACTGGATGACCTTGGACAAGTCACACTCTCTCAGCCTCAGAGGATGGGAAGGACAAACCCCCTCTGAAGAAACTTGCCAAGAAAACCCCGTGATAAAGTCACCTCAGGGTCACAACAAGTCGGAAGTGACTTGAAGGTGCACAACAACAACTAGGACTCCAGGAGACCAGAATTCATATCCCTGCTCAGTCATGGAAGCCCACAGAGTGCCATTAGGCAAGTCACTCTCTGTCTGCCGCAAAGGAAGGCAATGGCAAACAACTTCTGAACAAATCTTACCCTGAAAACACCATGGAAGATTTGCTGTAGAGTTGCCATAAGTTGGAAACAACTTGGAAGGCATGCAACAACAACAACTCCAGCAAAGGCTCTGCTGGTTGAGGGAATTTGGGATTTGTTGCCCAAAGTACTCCTCACATTTGCAAGCTCTCTCTTTTATGGAGAATCCAGAAATTGTTGTCTTCCATTGTTACCCATGATTTGCCACGGCTTCTTCCAGCTTCTTTATCTACACACCCACACATGCACACACTAACAAAGAAAATCTGTTAAATGGAAGAGAATTAGCATCACTGTGTTTTTCCACTCGTAGCCCTAAGAACTACCCTTTGAAAAGCAGCCCCAGTTTGGTCCTGAGATAACCGGTTCCATCTCCAAAACCAACAGTCAGAACTTGGAAGGACACTATGCTTAAGTTTGCACTCATAACAATCCTTTTTCAGGTTTCCTGCCACCCAGGCATTAGCTGCAGGCCCCGGCAGGTAAAACATCAACCCTAAAGAACTGATTTAATTGCACCAAAGATTTCAACAGGGCAGGTCTAGACGTCTCCTCCTGGATTAACTGAAAATGACTCAGTGAGCAGCTGGAAGGGGAGAGGGAGACACGGAAGCTGGAATTTCAAGTGGGTTACGCAGCAGGGGGGAGAAGCAGAGAGATGGGACTCCCTGGGTTCCCAAGAGTAGACTCCACCTCACAGGCACTAGAAGGACGAGAAGCCTGACCGAATATTCACAGTAGGGGTGGAGGCATTTAAAAAAAATATTTAAAGAATCTTTACCCTGCTCTTTACCCTCCAGGAGCAGCTTATCCAAAATATATAGATATAGATATATAAATAATTATCTAGTGCCCCCTCTGAGATTTAACGATCTGGAAAAGAAATAAATGAATTGGAAGGCGATACAAAAAAGCAGAATGGTCATGGTTGACTCAGTTCCCCACAGAGACAGTAGGCGCAAGTTGGAACTCTATGAATGTTGGTCTTTTTAGTGTCATGGTTTCTACATGACATCATTCTCCATCTATTCTTGTTCTGGGCTGGCATTTTTTCCTCCTTTCT